TAGAAGATTCATCAAATGGCATAGAGAGAGACTATCAAATGATGAGAAGCGATGTTTGAAAGGGGGAAGAATGTTATTGTTCTGAGATCCCTTTTTGGGTGAATAGGCAGTATTCTTTAGAAAGATTAACAAAATAACGTTCACAAAGGCAACTGAGTGGTTTTTGTTGGAAAAGTACATCTATGTAATGACATGCCATCCAAAACTATTACACTGACAAAGTTATTCAAATTATGTTCAATGATCATCATAGGAAATATTTTATTATTAGTGCGGCTAAATGCCACATGGGTAGAAACGCTGCACCCGCTGAAAATTTAAGTTTTAAACACGTAAACGCCGCAGTGTTTCTTCCGGAAATTATAGTACTTTCCGTAATTTCCGAAATTATAGTACTTCTGATTATGAAAATAATTCAACAAATCCTATGCTGATGCTTTAAAGACTATGAATATTTCTAAACGTAATCAACTACCTACCCTAATAATTTTTCCCAAAGAAAACATGACTAATCCAGAACTCCAAGAGAAATGAGAAAAATACAATACAATTAAAAATACTGGAGTGAAAATCAACAAAATTATCCATATTAAAAAAGGTGGAATAGCAGTCTCTTGTTCTTCCAAAGAAGACATTCATAAAATCAACTCAACTTTAGAAAATAACGACAAAATCAACCATTTAATTACTTTAAAAATTCTGACCAAAATAATACCAAAATGTACCATCAGCAATTTACCTAGAAATACTACAGAAAAAAGATGTAATTGAATTAATTACTAAAAATGTTAAAATTAGAAGTTTGCATATTAAACCTTCCTTTAAATTGAACAACAAAATAAATCCAGCCAACAAATGGATAACAGACTGTACTCCATTCCAAATCTTAATGAACAAAGGCACCTTTCACAGTGGATGGAGAAGACAAAAAAATAACAGAATTTTTAGGAGCTAGAAGATGCTACAAATGTCAAGACTTCAAACATCCCTTCAAATACTGCAAATATAGGAATTACTGTTCTTTTTGCAAAGGAAGCCATAATATTACACAATGCAATGCCAACAACCTCAAGTGTACTAATTGTAAACTATCAAATTATGTAAATAAAACTAATTTCAATGTCAGTCACCCAGCATATGCACCCAACTGCCCCACATACCAAAGACAAATAACGAAAATCAAAGCCAGAACTGCATATAGCGATATAATCTAACTATACAGGAATACTGCCTACTATCTAGAGGCACTGTAAGAGCAACTTGAAAACAATCACTAACAGATAAACAATACAATGAAGCTATCTTTGCATTCACCACTTCCTGCAACTCCAGAAAAGTCTCAGGAGGTCACAATTGCTTTTGGTTTGAAAGCATTCAATAAATTCATTCCTAGATATTCTAGACAGATATCCAAAAAAAAAACCTATTACTGAATGAAGATAATATGGCAATAATAGTTGCTGATAACTCTGCTGTTGTTATTCCCATGGACGAAATTGTTGATAATGAAATTAGTTTCAGTTCTGCGTTCAGTTTGATTAATTCTTGGAATGTAAAATCATATATAATAAAGCAGATGGCATTAAATGCAGTCATACTAATAAACTTGAGATCAAAACTATGAGTTCAAATGATGAATCTAGATTCTGACAAACAAATAAACAAAATACAGAAGCCATGCATTTACCACTTCATACTTTTCCAGAAAAGTATCAGGGTTTACACAAATGTGCCGATATAAAAATGTTAAATGCGTTCATAGGTCTTCATCTAGACTCGCATCCAGGAAGACTCCAGAAAACTCCACAATGTGTATTCAGTAACAAAAAATAAACAAAATACAGAAGGCAGGAAGACTCCAGATAACAATGGAGTATCTACTGAATATAGTTTCATTTCAGAAGAACCTTTACAGAATTAAGATAACATGGCAATTTTTAATGCTGAAATTTACGCTGTTGTTATTCCCATAGATGAAAGAATCAATAATGAAATTAGTTCCAGTTCTGTGTTCAATTTGGATAATTCTTGAAATGTAAAATGCAATAATGATCTTGTCAACTCATGAACCTACATAACCTAAACCTATGAACTAATACGTATCAATTCAGAAGTCAAACAACAAAAATCAGCGTTACATTTTCAAAATTTTCGCAGGACTAGTTTCGATGATTTTACCGAACCACCATCCTCAGCTGTAAAACCGCAAATGAACAAGATAGGAAATAATGATTAGATAAGATAAGAAAGCCTGAACAAGAATAAGCAAGTGGCGACATCTGTTGGTGAAACCAGAACTAAAACATAATTTCTTTAAAGGCCGAAGGCAAAGATGGATTGGAATTAGGATCATTAACTAGAACAGAAAGATTTTCTTGAATGTGAAATGCCTCGAGAAAATCCAGTTCTCCAATGGAAGGATTTTTTTTAATAATTTTAGTAGCAGAAAAATTGAAAGTGTGATTTTCGGACCAACAATGTTGAGCAACAGAAGACTTCTGTGTTTCCTTTTTTCTAACATATGCCTCATGTTCCTTGATGCGAAATTTTAAGGCTCTCCTAGTTTGGCCAATGTTAATCAAACCACACTGTCAAGGAATCCTATAAATACCCCAAGAATTCATATCCGGAATGGGGTCCTTGAGTACGGAATTCGGAATTTTATTGATGGGAGAAAAAACAATTCTAAAGTTAAATTTCTGCAAAATATGTGCAACTTTATAGCTAATTGATGGAAAGAAGGGAATGACAACAGAATTTTTATAATCTCCTAAAACAAGAGTGTGCCTTTTAGTGTGTTGAAAAGAGAATTTTTTAACTGTTTGATTAATAATGTTGGGTGAAAAGCCCCTGTCAATAGCTATTGCTTTTAAATAATTTAGTTCTTCATCAAGGGCTAGTTTGGATGAGCAAACTTGAAGAGCATGGAAAACATAGGAATAAAATGAAGCTAACTTTTGTTTAGTCGGATGACATGATTTAAAGTGTGGTGGAAGGCAAACCGATGAAGGCTTACGGTAAACTGTAGTACTGAAGTTGGATGTGTTACGTGTGACCAGAATGTCGAGAAACGGAAGAGAATTGCAAGTCTCAAGTTCAAAAGTGAACTGAATAGCAGGATCAATAGAATTCATTGTTGAAAGAACTTTATTTAAATCATCTGTATTACCTTCAAACAGGGTAAAAGTATCGTCTATGTAGCAGAACCATGCCGGGAAGTTTAAAGTTTCAAACAATTTTGATTCATAATAATGCATGTAGACATCGGCCAGGATGGGACTGAGGGGGGCTTCCCATGGCTAATCCCTCGGTTTGCTTGTAATATTTATTTTGGAAAACAAAATTTGTTTGTTTCAAACAGAGTTGAGTGAGAGAAATTAGCTCATCAATTTCGATGCAAGAGAAATGAAATTCGCGAAGTCTGGTTTCTAGACATCTTAATGCACCCTCCACTGGAACATTGGTGAATAATGATTTTACATCAAAAGAAACCATGAGTAAATTTCTAGGAGAAATGTTTTTAACCTTTTTTACAAACTCTATTGAATTTTTTATGGTGTAAATGTTATTGTCTAATAGAGTTAAAAATCTAGAAACTAAATATTTAGCTAAGGGATACGAGGCAGTACCTAAATTTGATACAATAGGGCAGAAAGGAATACCACTTTTATGAGTTTTGGGAACAGCATATAATCTGGCACAATTCGCAACAGATGGGTTAAGCAAATGTTTTAAGTTGCTTGAAATGATTTGTGAAGATTTGATCGCAGTTTTTATTTTTGACAAGTCTGAAGGTGAAGGATCTTTAGGGATCGGATTATATGGTCCTTTGTTTAAGAGTTTATGTATGTGTATCGATGTAAGTGTTCTTATCCATGACGACTATCTGTTCATACATATGAATATACATATGAACTCAACATGGTCTAGGACTATGAACTAAAACTATGCATTAAGAACTAGAACAACGAACTTATCAAAATTTGAAATATACAAAGGCAATGCCCATTCAAGCTAAATTTATACTCCTATGTATATACGTCTAAATTATTCATACAAATTTTATGTACATTCTTATGTATGCTACATTCTTACATACACTTTATGTATATTACCAAATTTCAATAAAATGCTGTATGGCACAGTGGGAAGGGGGGTAGCTTAAATAGAAGTGCAAAAGGACAATACCTATTTTACTTATAGAAATCATTGGGTGTCATTTTAGAGCACAATAATATTTTCCAAGAACATGAAGTAAAATATAACACTAAAATATCAGACTAATTTTACTTATAAATATTTAAAAAAATTAGAATTTTTGTATGCCCTACTGCTTGTAGTTCATAATGTGTTTAAACAGCTAGGAAAACGAATGTAAATTAGCTGGTCATTCTTCACGCAGAAACAATGTACCCTCATCATAACATGTTCTAATAAAAATCAAAATACAATCAAATGGTGCACATTTTCAAAAGAGGTAACAGTTAACCCTTTCAATGCTTTTAAATAAAAGTTAGGTGAAAAATTTGCAAACAAGAGTTGCTACCTGAAATGCTACCAGACTGGTCCAACCTATAAGGGTATGCCACAGACACTAAACTAGACTGAACGCAGCCAATTTTTAAACATCACTTGAGAATTTCAAACATTTTCCCTAAACCTCTAGGGTTTTGGGGAAAATTTTGGTGAACCTCTTTTGCAGCTTTATACGACACCTACATAGTTAAGGACATTTATAGTTTCATGAAATTTACAAATGCCATGACTAGGAGCACAAACATTAATGCACCAGTAATAAAATAAGAGCATTTTCATTATTAGAATAGATAAACCATTTATGATTTAAAACCTTGTGCACTTGTTGGTATGTTGATTAATAATCCTGAATTAAAAATATTCAAACAAATTTTCAGCTGATTTCTCCATCTACAACATAGAGATCAATCAATCAATTAACAGTTTTAGAGAATAAATATTATATTCAAAATATTCAATTTTACCTTTAAAGAATAATCATCATCATGTTTGCTACACTGGTATAAAGAGCAACTCATTCCATAATGGTATAAATCACCACAGCTATTTAAGAAAAATGCAATATATATAAATTATGGATGATATATAGTAGTGATATTATTATTATTACAGACAGCATTAAAATAATATTACACTGATTGGTATGTTTAAATGTTGTTTGTTAATACTCTTCCAATGCAGTATGTAATGTTCTGTATTATTCAGGGGCGTAGCTAGAGTTTCCAGCACCGGACGACAACTGAAGAATTTGTGCCCCTTCTGTGTGCCAAGAATGGAAAACATTTCATTAAAAAATTTTGCAGTGTCAATTTGATGCCCCTTCGATGCTGCGCCTGGAGACAGATGTCCCCTCTAGCCCCACTCTAGTTACGCCACTGGTTTTATGAGCAATTTTAGATGGTTAAAGCATTATTTACAGCTCCTTTTGAGAAATGATTAACTGTATTTACAAAATTTTAATAAACTAAAACTAATTTATGATTCACTTTTTTTGAAAAATGGAACAAATTCTGACATTAGAATGAATTATTAGAATTATGAAATTAGAAACACGTTAATTCATGTTCATGCTACAGTGAAGCAAAACCTTGCTTCTGTAGATGAGAAGAACGATTAAAGCAACTGCACCTTTTGAACGACTATATCTAGATTTCAAAGGTTAATCATACAGGCTATGACTAAATCTAGGTATATAGGCTACCATATACGACTAAACCTAAATTCAAAAATTAACCACTTATAGTTTCCAAGAACCACTTTCTTCTTACTATAGTGGACAAGTTTTTAAGCTTTGCAATACCCTGACCTGATATGTCATCTGCTATTGTTATTGCTCATCTGCAAAACATGTTCTCAATTTTGGGAATGGCAGCCTACATAAATAAAGTACCTTCATTTATGTCTCATTAATTAAAATTCTTTTGACTTTACTTGGTATAGCAACAAGTCACACAACTGAATATAATCCTAATAGGAAGTGTCCATGTTGTGAGGTATGATAGAATCACAAGGAAAACTGCACAACTGGCACTAAAATCACAGAAAATGGCAATCAAAAGTTTAGGAGGAGTTCTACAGCTTGTTTTCCAGTTGATATGGTCACTCTTATAACAACAACAAAAGCTACACCCCCATGAACGCATGTTCATCCATACCAGAAAAATCTTAACAAAGAATGCTTTTTACCTATATGGTTAACACAACCTGGAACAATATTAATGAAGAACTATAGACAAACTAATATCAACCTATTGTGCACGAAGTACAGCTCATTGAGTCTAATTCAGATTATGCTTAAGTTAAACTTCTCTCCCCTCCCCCTTTTTTTGTCAACTTGTGATCAATTTTCTAATAAATAAGGATCACCATGTTACTCTGCAGTGGATTCCAAGTCATTGTGGATTTACAAATAGCGAATTTGCTGATACTCTGGCCAAGGCTGGATCTGTCCTTCCTCAACCCAATCCTCCTGTTGCTATTACAATGCTATGAAAAGCATTGGGGCCAGATGTGGAACTCATCTTCAGAAGAAAAATGGGGACTCTGTGAAGAGGAAGCTTTTGGGTCGTTAATGGAGAATCCCATTCCTTATGACATACCTAGACCTGTCAGTGACACTAATTTTAGATTAAACCTGGACATGACTACCTCATGAAACACCTACACAGATTTGGTTTAGAAAATTCTCTAACTTGCCCAATACATGATATTGACAATATATGTGGTGACCTAGGTCTGATGTAGGATAAAAAAAAAGTAAATAAATGTTAAACTTCCAATGGTCATGAAACCAATGTTTCAATATGACATTTGACACCCACAGAAAATACTCCTATACATGTCCATCATATAAGGTTAGATGAAAACCAGCAATTTTCAGATTATTTTGTTCAACGGAATAAAGATTTAGAGGTTGAAGCTCCTGAATCCACCTAAAAAATTACTAGAAAATCAACTGAATTTCCACGAAGAGGATTCACAAGGCAATGATGATTACTTGCATGAGAGTGAATCCTTGCATCCTAAAAGGCAGAGACATCAGTTAGCCTTCTTATCTGGCAGACTATATTATTGATTAATAACCTTTGAGAAGGGTGAATATTATTATTTTCAGCATTAAAATTATATTACATAGGACAGCAACAGTTATTATTTGTTTAAATGGTGGTCTCACAATGTAGCACATAGCATTCTGTTTTATGTCCAGTTTCAGTTGATTACAACTTTATTAGCACTTCTTTTGAGAAATGATTTACTACATTTAAAACAATAGTCAAGAATATATACATTAAAATAGATGAGAATATCAGAGTTTTATTCTTATGCAGAAGAATACTATTTAATAAAATTTGTGATACAGTGGAACCTCGAGATACGAATTTAATTCATTCCAGCATTGACCTCATATAGCGAATTTCTCACATGTAGAAACAAACTTCCCTACTGAAGATAATGGAAATCTAGTTAATCCGTTCCGCACTCCCAAAAATATTAACATAAAAATCAATTTTTCTAATAAATAACACTTGTAAATAATATAACCGTAGTTTACCTTTATAATAGTTTCCGACATTGATTCTCCTTTTAACTGCCTCTTGTTTATCCACACCAACAACAGTTTCTTAATATCTTCTAGAAGATTTGGGCAGTGCTTGGAAGCAACAGCAACTCCTTTGGCCACATCCAATTTCTTAATTTCTTCCTTCTGCTTCAGAATAGCGCAGATTAATGTCGAACGGCTGCAAGTCTTCGCCAATTCCATCCCTCTTACACCACACTTATGTTTGTCTATGATTTCGTTCTTAATTTCAACGGTCATGGCTTCCTTCTTTTTCTTTGCAGCACTATCTGAAGCAACAATCTTCTTTGGAGGCATCATGAAACAATTATTTTCACATTAAATGTAAAAAAACAAAAAAAAAAACAATTAACTCACAATCGCATAGACACATAGATCAAAGAACACCGAGTGATCTGGCAAGGGGTTCTCCAAGTCGAGCCAGATCGAGAAATGGTGCCACACATACCAACAGCCTGGCTGATTACTCATTACTCGAGTCAAAGTTTGAATTTAGTGACGAATTTTTTGCTCACTTTCCTCATCTAGTATATAGAGGTACTCATACCTCGAGGTTTCACTGTAGTTATTGCATTAAAAAATTAACATTCATAAAAGTTTGGTATAGCAACAAACAAACTAAAAATCAAGATTCTATACCATACGTTATTTTATTTATTTTATTTTATTTTATTTTATATATATATATATTTAACAAGGAAAAAATGTGTGATCATTGAGTATAATTTTAAGCAAACATTAAAACTCAAAACTCCAAGTTTTCTGATCTTTTATCATGAAGTTTTCTATATATTTTTTGTGGAAGTTCATTAGTTACAAATGTGTGCATAAAAACCACAGAATAATCCAAATATCATAATAAGTATACATAAAAAATTAAATGAAAATTATATATATTATAAAAATCTACTGTTGGTATTTGAAAAAGATTTTAAATAATGAAAATAAATTTTACATAAACTTTTGCTAATGCTTGGTCAAAAAACTTACTTAGTACATATAACATTACTACACATAGGACACTCAAAAAGAGTCTTTCCATCTTTAGCAACTCTATATATCATAGGACAATCAGGACTAGGACAATAACTAATATCATCCTTGTTTCTGATGAAGAAGTCCAATGATTTTTTTAAAACAATTTTCTCCAGCAGTTGGACTTGCTTTGTTGCCCAATACAAATCAGCAAGCACAATTGGTGCACTGCAACCCTAAAAATAAAAAAAGAATAAATATTATGCATATTTTTTTCTCAACTATTATTATGCAAAAAAAAAAAAAAAAAAAAAAAAAATTCTCAACTATTCTAAGTACATCAAAATAACAACAAAACATTTCTCTGATCATCATTTGATTAATGTATAATTATGTGTAATATTGAAAAATAGAATCTACCCAGTAAAAGAAAGAGCAATAACAAAAAACTTTCTTTGTTAACATTTACATTTTTACATATATTTTATGTTTATTTGTGGTAGTAAATAAAAATTAGCAGGATTTTACTTTTTATTGTCTTTGTATTCTTTTTACATATACCATATTATCTATCTGTTACAAAGACATATGCTTTCAATAATGGAAATTTTTTTATTAACATTTTCTGCACATCAGTAAATCTATATACGACTATCTATCTTATATACACTCATGTCCATAAATTAAGGATAATTCGGAGTCACGTAGAAATCAAACTCTAAAATAAGTATATCACCTATAAAATCACTACACACATCTTCAAGAATCATATACAAATTTCAGGAAGTAACCAGACGATGGTAGAATTGTGACGATTGTGACGATGGTACCATTGTGACGAACCATTGTGACGATGGTACGTCACAATGACGAGAGTGTAAGAGAGTGATATATAAGTAACACAGGCAAAGAAGTAAAATTGTTCGCAGGCGCTTTATAAGCATTGCAGTGAAATAACTGAATAGTTATGACACAAAGGATGCATTTGGATGATTTTTTACGTGGTAGAATTATCGGCCGTCTGGAATGTGGGCGTACCCAAATGGAAGAATCAGACGAACTTGGAATTGCCCAGAGTGTCCTCTCCAGACTTTGGCAATGATTCCAAGATGATGGTAATGTGAGTAGACATTACAGCACAGGTCGCCCCAGAGTTTACAACCCCAATGAGGACCGGTATTTGGCAGTTACTGCGAAAAAAACAGGCGGAGCACAGTCCTCAGACCTGTCTCTTCAGCTCTCTTCAGCCACTGGTACGACAGTTTCAAGGCAGACCATGTGCAGATGCTTAGGGCAGATTGGTCTATATGCTCGTAGACCTGTCAGGTGCGTTTCACTTACTGCAACTCACTGTCACCTGCGATTAGCCTGGAGTAGAGAGCATGCATTGTGGACACCCCAACAGTGGGCTTGTGTGATGTTTTCCGACGAGTCCAGGTTTAGCTTGCAGTCTGATTCTCGCCGGACTTTCATGTGGAGAGCTCCAGGTACCCGTTACCACCAAAAAAACATCATTGAACGACACGGTGGTGCAGGAGTGCTCGTTTGGGGTGGAATTATTCTGGGTTCCAGAACTGACCTGCATGTTCAAAGTGGAACCATGACAAGCCAAATCTATCGGGACGTCATTCTGAAACAACATGTACGTTTGTTTCGGGGCGCCATGGGCACACAATTTGTGTTTATGGATGAAAACACCCGTCCTCACCATGCAAACATCGTAAGCGGATGCCTTCAATTCAGAGGATATCACCCGTATGGACTGGCCAGCATTCTCACCAGACGTGAATCCAGTAGAGCACGTGTGGGACATACTTGACCGACGAGTTGCAGCCCGTCAACCTCCTATTGCATGTCTACCAGAACTTCAGAGAGCATTGTTTTTTGAGTGGTGTAATAACCCCCAAGATCAGATCGATAATTGGATACTCAGCATGCCTAGGCGTTGTACGGACTGTATTGTGGATCGTCTGGGAGACATACAATGTATTAACAATCATACCAACCATGTAATATTAGGGTTTTTTTTTTTTTTTTTTGTAATTTGCTCCAGGGAGAAAAAAAAATCGCTAATTTTTTTAATAATATCAAACATATAGCATCTTTTTTTGCTCTTTACCATTTGTTTAATAAATAAGCTTTACAAATAAGTCAAATTTGTTTTGCTCCTAAATCTTCCTTTGCCTGATTTTGGATTATCCTTAATTTATGGACATGAGTGTAATTTATCTATCATAATATATTATAATAACTGTTACATTAGCTACATTCTCTTATGAACTATCCTAGAACAAAAAGGATCTTCATTTAATCAGATACACCAGCAAATACATATCAAATATAATGGATCTTCGTTCTAAGATCACACTGTAGTGATTTCAAAATTACACACAGAGTCACATCATCCTTTAAACTGATATCACATCTACAAGCTATCCTCAATAGTTTGACAAAAGAAATATTTCTTGGAATCTTCACTTTTCTGATTGTCTGAATATCCAGAAAAAGTTCTTTGGTAAAAACCTAGGCGAGACAGAGCTCCAAACAAAACATTTTTGGTCCAGCTGCAAAATATCCCCATACCTAACTAGGATATCGGTTTCAAAATATCAGTTTTGGCTAGAAACCCTCCAATGGTAGAAGAAGCTCATTTCTCAGAAAAGTTTTCCTAGCATTTTGCCTTGCCACATGTGATACCGCTTATTCTCATGAATATGATAGACTAAAGTACCTTATGTCATGATACTTGATGTACTGAAACATTAAAGAATTTCCATACTAAAGCATACAAAACTTGACTAGTGAAAAAATCCTGATATTTTGGAAGTCATTAAGCCAAAAAGAAAAAAAAAGTAACAGCATTAGTTTACATGCGATTTAGATCAAATATTTATTTCATTTAAAAACTTGATTCCTTTAAAGTTGTTCAGCAAGAAAATAGGTACTTTTACAATAGCTTTCATGAAACACTGATGCCAAAATTATACATAAAAAGTATAAGGTACTTTCTTCCTCCTTCCGGCATGCCTTCGTGGTGTAACGGTAGAATACTGAGCACATATTTGAGAGGTCCAGATTCAAGTCCCAGGGGAAGTCATTGCACATTTTTTTACTGCTTCTGCTTCAAAATACCTAGTGACTCTAAAAAGTGGCGGTCGAACTAAAAGATGGTATACAATAGCATCAACACCAGAATTTGCCAATTGGTTCCCCTAATCCCCATTTGCCCTTTAAAAGGCAAAGTATATAAGATATTTCCTCCCTCCTTCCAGCATGCCTTCATAGAGTAAATAATCTAATGTCTCTACAAAGACTAAATTCAAAAGTTCTGATAAACTAAATTATATTTACTATTAAAACAAGTGTTTCCTTCTACTAACCATTAAATGCAATGAAACATATCAGAGAAAAATTATTAAACAAAATTATTTACTAATTTCCTTCTTTTTTCAGCATTCGAATGAAAATATCTGAAACTCTAAGCACAGCATAATTTCAAAGAAACCCCTCTAAAAATCATTTTTCTAGATTTTACGAAAAAAGTAAAAAGATACATTTTTACCAAAATTTCAGGATTAATTTGAGAAACATCAAATCTGAGATCTTACCCTATGGAGTTGCAAGGCTAAGCAGTAACCATTGCTTAGCTGTTAAAAATCTGAATTCAGAAACTACAAAATCCAAGTTTGAATGCTTGAAAAATGTATCACGGGTTATAAAATCTCTTCATAATACAGAAGAAAATATCCTTAAATCGCGTCAAAATGGTTAATTTCATGGCACCATAAAAAATTCCTTATTTTAGAGGAGGGATTTTAAAAAGTTTTTTACGGTTGCATTTAACATACGAAACTCTTTTAGAGTTTAAATTTAACATAGTGATAAATGGTAATAATCTATTTTTGAAGAATTACTAATTTTAAAAACACTTATTTACATCAGAATTCAACAGAACAATAAAAACTTTTATTTAAAAGCAATATTTTGATAATTATTACTTGTAATCCAACATTTTTGATAATCATTATTTGTGCTAAAATTTCTATTAATAATTACACATGAAATTATTAGTATCCTTTCCTCCGACATCCTTCGAAATAATTTTTAAAACAAATATCATTATTCAAAATTAAAATAGCTAACATTGAAACACATAAAACACACTAAAAAATAAAATACTACCAACTTACCACACAACTTAATGGGAAATCACTAGAATTTTCAAATAAATGTAAGATGCATGTTTTACAGTAAGCATGGCCACAATACTCCAAACGATAAAATTCATTCAAAATTTTATCATAGCATAAAGCACAAACTTCATCATCATCACCATCATCATCAAGGTTACCCAACTCCTTGGCTACTTCTTCTACAAGTTCTAAGCACTGTCAGAAGATATTAAAAATTTCAGAATATAGTACATTTATATTAAGTGTTTTGCATAAATATGAAAAAGTCCTACAAAAACTTTATTGGGAGCAATTTGAATTTCATTATTCTTTAGTATTTTCAACCAAATTAAAATTTTAAACTTCAAATACATATAAAATACAC